GTCTCCCTGCCTGGAGACCATGCTTTGCCTTCTAGATCATGCTCTGGAACCCAGAATCCCCTCCCCCAAATGTCCACACAAACACTTTTGGGGCCTTGAGACCTTTCTCTGGGGCTCACCCTCTCAGCACAGACCATATCACAGTGTGTGCACCCAGAGGCCAAAGGCCGAAGGGCAGCCGTCTGCATGTACAGACTGCAGTATTCAAACACCTATGAACAGCCCCTCAAGATGTGGGACAAGGGGGAGTGGGAACAAGAGGAGGACTAGCCAGTGGCCAGGACCAGCTCACCCACAGCACTGTGCAGGGTCACTCTGATTGAGCAGGTGTAAGTCTCAGGTCATTTTGCATGTTTCTCTGGATGATTACATTGTGCTCATGTAAGGTGTGAAATTTGGACTACTCTGGATCAGAAGTGTGTTTTACTTCAAAGCAGCACACAAAATGAGCAGAACAAGAAAAGTCTAATAAAATTAATAGCAAGAGCATTGATAAGCTTTGTGAGATATAATCTCACTCAGTCCTAATAACCCCCTTGGGGGTTTTACTGTCTCATTTTAAAAATTAAGAAACCAAGGCTCAGAGTGGCTGAGTTTTGCCCTGGTTTCAAAGGAGGGCAGAGACAGCATCATTATGACTCCACAGGCCACTTTTTCTTCACTCCACCTCCCCATGGTTCTAACTCAACATTTTCCAGGACATCCATATCTGCTGTTGACCTAAAACAGAAAGTCAGCCATTTCTTCAGCCAGATATTTCTCCAGCAAGTGGATGAATTCTGGAACAACCATAGATTGCAGTTCAGAACATGCAACCATGCCAGGCCATGTGCATATCCCCTGAAACAAAGCAGAGGGAACATCTATAGGAGGAGGACCAAGCACAGTTCTGGTGGCTGTGCTTGACAGTGAAGGGAGGGCAGGAGCACTCCCCCTTCTGGCCTACTAACTTCATTGTAGATGTGGTTTTTGATTAATGATTTTTTTTTACACAGCTATTATCTAAAGAGGCACTAACACATGGATAGTTTCCTGTTTGTGGGTCTATGATTATTGAGGGGAAAAACTGGTTCTGAGATTTACTTTCTCAAAGACTGATGTTTACAGGCTGAGAAGCAATTTGGAAGACCTACCTAGTGGCATTGGGGGAGGGTGTTTTCTTTAGGCTTATTCACTGGGGGATGGGGCACTGGGAATTCCAAAGACTTTTTGCACACCTTGACCTTGCAGAGCTGAGCAATTTTCAGTTGCTTTTCATGCTGAGAACACTATTTCCCTTAACTACCATGGAACAGATCTTAATAGAGCACTTGCGTTCATGCTACAAGGTTAATGAGTATGAAACTAAACAATCATATATCCCTCTGGTGGATAAGGTTTCTGAAGAACACACATTATATACATCATATTTATCATCATATTTGATGATAAATAGTGAGAGTCTGCAGGCATTGTAGTCCAGCATTCTTCACCACAAGGAACTAAATTCCAGAGAGATGGTGGGTGCCTTAGTAATGAGAGTGGACCTGGGTCTCCTCACCCAGAATGTTTCTTGTTCAATACAAAATTCAGTTTGTAGATGAGCAAGCCATTTGTGTATATATATTTAAAACAATACTAAAATCAGCCCTGGCTAGTGTGGCTCAGTTGATTGGAGCATCATTCTGTAACCACAGGGTTGCAGGTTGGGTTCCTGGTCAGGGTGTGTGCCTAAACTTTGAGTTCAACCCCAGCCCCTTTGCTTACGATCCCAGGCCTGGGACTGAGTGAATATAGAAGGCAACCAATTGGTGTTTCTTTCTTGCAGATATTTCTCTCTCTCATTTCTTCTTTCACTAAAGGTAATGGGGAAAAAAGCCCTTGGGTGAGAATAAAACAAACAAAACAATAATAATATTAAAGTCTAAAAGGAAATTAAATGTTAGCTTTCAGTGAAGCAGAAGCCCTGATTCCCAGGGGCTTGCCTCCCAAGCATTTTGAAGTATATTGCTACAAAAAAGCCTCCAAACTCTCTCCATTGGAAAAGGTAATACTATTAATAAACTTCTGTTCAAGGGAAGGAATTCAAGTGCATAACAAAGTTATCTCTTTGTTACTGGGTCTGTTTTGTTTGAATGATGAAGATGAAAGAAGATGACTTAGGAGGTGAGAATCAGAGCTCAGAAAATTTTAGTGTTTTTCTAATAACCAAGAACACATATGTCTTTATTCAGGTGTAATGTAAGTAGAACATGGAATTTACTAGAAAAAAGTAAACAAGACTAGTGATATCAGCTTTTCATACTGCAACTGCTAATAAATCCATGGGGAAGTAACTCTCCTTTAAAAAATGTATTTCCTGCCCTGGCTGGTGTAGCTCAGTGAATTCAGCACAGACCTGTGAACCAAAGTGTTGCTGATTTGATTCCCAGTCAGGGCACATGCTTGGGTTGCAGGCCAGGTCCCCAGTGGGGGGTGCACTACAGGCAACCACACATTGATGTTTCACTCCCCTTTTATTCCCTCCCTTCCCCTCTTTCTAAAACTAAATAAATAAAATATTTTAAAAAGCCAATAACAAAATTTTTTTAAATGTATTTCCTAATGGAAACTGGAAAACATGTGGTACCCCCAAAACACAAAACTGTGTAAGAAACTACAGTGAAACTATAATGCTTTTTAAGTCTATGTAAAGAAATGAGAGGTGGATCATACTTAATAAGGTTTAGATATGCTCACTTTATCTTTCTGGAAGTATAGTTTTATTACACTCAGGTGTATTGAATTTTATGTGATTTTACTTGCATCTTAAAACATGTGCAGATAATATAATTTACCTGCATATTTGGCATAACAATATGCTTCTTCCTAATTTTAACTGAACCTAGTCCTGATGTCAATCAAATCAAGCTGAGCATTTCTTTGAACACACAGTAATTAATATGTCTGGTGAGTGTCAATTTTTCTTTATTTTTAAAAGAAGATCATTTAAAGAAGTTATTTACTACCAATAAAAGATATCCATCCCCACACGGCTTTTTAAAATTTATTTGACTAAATTTTAGGGGGGTGAATTGGTTAATAAGATCATATGAGTTCCAAGTGTACAATATTATACTGTATCATCTGTATATTTCATTGTGTGCTCATCACCCAAAGCGAGAACCTAAGACTCTCAAAGCAAGAAAAAAAAATGGCTTTGCGCATGTGCTTGCGCTGCAGAGTAACGGTAACTGCAGAGGCCCTGCTAGCTGGGGCTGCTGCCTCTCTTAACGTCAGCGAGAGCTGCAAAGTTCCTTGCCAGTTCTTTGCTAGTTTCAGGGAGTTGGGTATTAAAGGGGGGGAGGTAGAGTTACTAATCGGCTGTTGTTTTTTTTTTTTTTAATTTTATTTATTTATTTTTGCTTTCCTATTCTCACTCTTTATTTTAAAACCTCTAGGTAAAGGATAGTGAGCCAGGAGCTTATTAGTGGTAGAGGGGTGAGTCAGCGGGTGTCAAAGGACCAGGAACTGGTTCCTGGGAGAGTCGGTCCCCTCCCTGCAGAGAGCGGGGCCGTGAGGAAGCGGCGGGGCTGCTCCTGGGTCAGAAATCCCGTCCGCCCCGGCCGCGCGCAGTCGCGGGGCTCTTCATGGGGGCTCCAGGTGAGTGTGCGACGACGGAGCGGGGCGCGGGGGTCCAGCAGGACCCGGTGGGTGGAAGCAAATCGCCCCCGGGTTCCGGGATGAGCGAAACCCCCACTTTCCCTTGAAGCACCTCCAGCTATTTCAGCTGTTCTGACACCAGTATCCCCACTTCACCCCTTTCTCCTTACATATTCTGGGAAGTGAGGGAGTTAACAATGTGTTTTTAAACCAGTGTTTACCACTCCGAGGTAGGGGAAAGGGTTTCTGCTCTTGCTTGCTTTTATTACCACCTGTCAGCTCTTGAACTTGTGATTTCCACAGAAGCCTTTGCTTGGAGGCCCACCTCAGCACCCAACCCCAGAGTCCTTAGAAGCCAAGATGGGTCCCCACTCCGCGCACTCCCGCCCGAGTCCCTGTGGTCGGCTTGCAGCCTGGTTTCCTAAGCTGACCGCGCCCCCAGCCCAGGATATGCGGAACATTCCCTGTCCGCCGGCGCGAGAGCTTGATTTTTACGCCTACAAAATTCGCAGTGACTGCCACTTACAAAGCCCCTTCTGCAGAGTGAAGCTTCCTCTATGCCCTCAAATCTTCCCTCTGTACCCCAGCAGCCCACCTGGGTGTGGCTCCAGGCTCGAGTTCTTTGGGACCTCCTACCCTGTGGATTGGTAGGGAATCCTGGACCGACCTAGGTCGCGTTTAGCCCTCGGGACCCGTTGGGCTTTGCTCGGGATCTGACTCTCAAGCCGACTTGGCTGGTCAACAAACCTATGCACTCTGCACACCCAAGTTTGAATTCTGCCGGCGAGCTTGGCGTGTCACTGGCCCTGCGGTGCCCAGGACAGGACGCTGCGCTTCCCTCTCCCACGCGGGGCCCTCGAAGGGACTGCGAAAGCAACCTGTTCAAATGGCAACCGGCTAGATCCTCCGGTTTCCACTGGCTCAGCTCGGTGCGACACTCTCGCCAGCTGCAGTAGCTCCTCGGGTACTTCTCGGATTTAATTCCCTTGCACGCCATCCGCTCACCAGAAGCTGCGGTTTGGGCTTTTATTTGCTTCGGATTTGAACCCCGCCAGCGGTCGCACGGCTGAGGGCTCCAGGGCAGGTTTTCAGCCGCAGGGACATTGTGAGGGGAACCCCTCCCACGGGCCCTCTGCTGCGGCAGGGCCAGCCGCTCTGGGACGCAGAGTGGCCTGGCTCCCAGCCGGATGCTGCTGGTCGAGCCCGGCAAGACCTGGATCCCGCGTGCGCCTAGTTGACATCTCGCCTTTCTCTTTGCGCTATCTCAGGAAGACGCCGCTTAACAACGCTCCACGGCCGCCTTGGCCTTGGCAAACAGTTCACTTTCACGTCCCCTGCCTGCGCGCCGAGAACTTGGATCTAGCACGAGTCCGCGGCAGACCAGCCACACTGTGGGTACTGCAGGTCGGGAGCAGTGCCCAGATGTCAACGGTCCCTACCTTCGAGTCCACGGCAGACGGGTACTTGCTTGTGGTTTGGGGCAGGGGAGAGACTGGCGCTGGATTTTTGAATTCTAAATGATAAGACGAATGCTAAATCTTCTCCTCAGAACGGATGAGACCGTGCAGAAAATAGGACTCCCGTAATTCTGGGATTACGTTTTGAAACTTGTCTCCTAGAGCTGAGCGCCAAGCCTTGGGTAGGTAGGGAGTTTGGGTCTGCGGCCAGCGCAGCTGGTGCAGGGCATCTGCGGGCACACCCGCGCGCCACTGGCCATGTCACCTTTAGTGCCCTGCCTCTTTGCGTTTCCTTCTGAGGGTTCCCAGGGCTGGCCGGGGTTGCTTCCCACCCGTGCACTCTCAGTCGCTCCCAGCCGAGCCCAGAGGGTAAGGCTCCCCCAAGCCCAGACCTTTTGACTCCCTGCTCCCTCTCTCCCGCCTCCGACCCCGCCCGGGGGTTGGGGGTGGGGAGGCCCTGGAGAGCCGGACCTCACCCTGCCTGGCTGGGACCATGGTGTTTCTCTCTGGAAATGCCTCCGACAGCTCCAACTGCACGCACCCACCGGCACCAGTGAACATTTCCAAGGCCATTCTGCTCGGGGTGATCTTGGGGAGCCTCATCATATTTGGGGTACTGGGGAACATCCTAGTGATCCTCTCTGTGGCCTGCCACCGGCATCTGCACTCAGTCACTCATTACTACATCGTCAACCTGGCGGTGGCCGACCTGCTACTCACCTCCACTGTGCTGCCCTTCTCTGCTATCTTTGAGATCCTGGGCTACTGGGCCTTCGGCAGGGCCTTCTGCACCATCTGGGCGGCAGTGGACGTCCTGTGCTGCACCGCGTCTATCATGGGGCTCTGCATCATCTCCATCGACCGCTGCATTGGCGTGAGCTACCCGCTGCGCTACCCCACCATCGTCACCCAGAAGAGGGGCCTCATGGCTCTGCTCTGCGTGTGGGCACTCTCCCTTGTCATCTCCATCGGGCCCCTGTTCGGCTGGAGGCAGCCGGCCCCGGAGGACGAGACCATCTGCCAGATCACCGAGGAGCCGGGTTACGTGCTCTTCTCAGCATTGGGGTCCTTCTACGTGCCGCTGGCCATCATCCTGGCCATGTACTGCCGGGTCTACGTGGTGGCCAAGAGGGAGAGCCGGGGCCTCAAGTCGGGCCTCAAGACCGACAAGTCTGACTCGGAGCAAGTGACGCTCCGCATCCATCGGAAAAATGCCTCCGTAGGAGGCGGCAGGGTGCCCACGGCCAGGAACAAAACACACTTTTCTGTGAGACTCCTCAAGTTTTCCAGGGAGAAGAAAGCCGCCAAAACACTGGGCATCGTGGTCGGCTGCTTCGTCCTCTGCTGGCTGCCTTTCTTCTTAGTGATGCCCATTGGTAAGTCTTTACCACACCGCATCGTAGCTTTTAGGGTCTTCGCCCTCTTCCTGGTCTGCTACCCCCGAGTCACAGTCAGGGTGGGCCAGAAAGGATCTGCGTTCCAAACAGCAAAGCCTGGAGGGCAGCCTGGAAAGGGTCCCCTGTTAGAAAGGGGAATTTCCATTCCCTTTCTAATCCAATCGCATTTCCGTTATGCCCTAGGGCACTTTTCAACTACTGTAAAGTGACTTCCAAGGGATGCAGATTAATCGGTCTCTTTAATAAGAGTGTAGACTTCTCTCCATGCCTGTAAGCATGTGCCCATCTAAATATGTCCCACCTATTTCAGTGGGACTCTCCACCGGCACCTCTGCAGGGTTGTGGACTGCCACTTCCACCTCAGGGGCTGAGGGCTGCAAATTTCCCCTTGGCCTAAAAATAAGCACTATGCTTATTCTGTACAAATGGGTAATTTTATTATTAGATTAGATTATTCCTCAGGGGGAGTTATAATGATCTGCTTATGCTGTATATCTGTGTCAATTTTATATTCTGGATTCAGTATGGAAGAAAGTATGGGAAGCTTTTGACAAGAAAATAAATGATCTTATGTCTAAATCAATTTAAGCTTTAAAGAATTCAACACAATGTTTTCAATAAGAAAATATTTTCTCTTTTATTTTAATAGTATTAAAGTTAGTATTCCTCTTACCCAAAAGCATTTTGGAAGATGCAGATGACATAGTTTGAATATAATACAGTAATGTTACAAATTCAGATTTTTCAAATGCTAAGTTAGCTGTTGTAAAAACCAATTAGCTCATTAGGAGCATCAGCAAGCTGACCCACTTGGAATGGTCATTTACCCCTGAAAGGCCCTCACAAGATTCCCAAATGGATGTTTGCTATTTTTAGTTTGTGAACTCAAATATAGACACACACACTGGTTATCCACTAATTCTATCAAACAAAAAATTGTGATAAAATTAATAAAACTCTGTTTCCAGTACTTTAGAGCCAAATGTAAATGGCATGTACTTAAAAGGACTTTAATTTGCAACTTTGTGATAACAGCAGCTATGATTTTTGTTTGAAAGCCAGCTCTATTTCAGACATTTGACAAAGTTTTTTATTGCGTTAGTCCACTCAGCAACTTACAGTGTGAGTTACACATTGTTATCCTTAGGTTCTAGAAATTCACTGTCTAATGCTGTGGCCACCAGCCACATGTGGCTATTTAATGTGAGTTAAAATTAATGAAAATTAGTGTTCAGTTCCTCAGTCTCACGAACCACATTAAGTGGTCAGTAGGCACAGGTGGTCAATGGCTACTGTCTGGACAGAGAAATAGAGAATATTTTGTCACTGATGAAATTTCCAACAGATGACCTTTTGACTCCCCTGACTCACCTGCTGTTGTGTCTGTCCAACATTATGGCTTACTCCGCTCCTAAAAGTACTTCACAGCTATAAATTTATTTAAGTGACGCTGTTTACCTGAGCCATCTCTTGCTTACTGATATTAATTGCTGCTTACTGACCTTTCTGCGTCCTGTCTCTTACTTCCTCCTGAAGTTTGCACATTTATTCATGTGTCCATTCACTGAGCAAGTAACTACTGAGCAGTTGTTCTAGACACTGTGAAGGAACAAAGAGGAAAAGTCCTTCCAGCAAGATGTCTGCATTCTTTCAGGGGAAATAGACATGAATATATGCTAGAAATTCAGGATCATACACCTGAAACTAACATGAAATACTATTGACTGTCAACAGTAATTGAAAAGTTAAAAAGAAAAAGAGAGAGCAAGAGTAGATTTAGTAATTAATATCAAACAAAGCAGCAGGAAAGCCATCAGTGGCTTCCAGAGGTTCAAGAGGAGAGAGGGAGGGAAGAGCAGGTGCGCGCAGGGCATTCGGGGGGCTGTGACACTAGTCTGAGTGATAATGTGACTGTGGATATACAACTCATGCACTTGTCAAAACTCCCAGAACTACACAACACAAAAAGTGAACCCTAATGTAAACTATGGGCTTCAGCTGATAACACGGTAACAACATTGGTTCATCAGTTGTAACGAATGCAGCACACTAATGCAAAGTGTTCATAGTAAGGACACTTAATGGGGCAGGAGGAGGGTAAAGGCATGCATGTGAACTCTCTGTACTCCGGACTCTCTGTACTCCAGATGGCAGTCAGCCCTCTCCACCCAGCTCTGTGCCTGGATGCACGAGATCACTTTCTATTTCTGAGCAGTTGGGGAAAACTGTCTTAAAACCTTCCAGCCCCCCTCCTCCAGCCCAACCGATCTGCCCTGGTTGCTGGGTATCTGTTTATCTCTCAGAGAAGGAACACTCTGAGGGTTCCCAGGGGTCAGGTGTGGCGCACAGGACACTGACACTTGCAGACAGAGCTGTTGAGCCAGACCAGCCATGGAGGACCTGCCACCTGCCCCTGAGTCCACCTTCTAGCACCTGGGTGGGGCTCTGGTGGTGTTTCTGAAAGCTTGAGACACACCCCAGGGCTCCATGTGTTTCTCTGGGAGGTCCAGGTATGTGCATGGTGGTGTCTTTGATAGTAAAGAGACGACACAACTTTAAGACTAAGAAGGCACTAACAAAAAGGTATTCTGCTGGCAATAAAGTCTTTGGAAGATGTAGAGAAAATATTGGCTCAAGGACACACACTGATGACTCCCTCTGGCTGCCTGGAGCTGGGCCTCCCCACTGCAGACCTGGTGCTTGTTGGCACTGAATACAAACTCAGCAGGCCTCTCTGTGAATGGTACCAAGAGAGCAGGTCTCTAGACTTTACAGCTGACTGATGAAGGCCCATCACAGAGCACCAGAGATCGATGAAAAGCAACTTCAGAAGAAAATAACAAATGATTTCAAGAAAAACGTTCATTTTTGACATAGTCCACAACCATTCCACCAAGAAATTATGGGATGGAGGCAGGGAGTACAGGAAAAGTAACAGGAGAAGGACAGGCTGGAGCAGTCTGTACGTGACGGAGCAGGCCCTGAAAGATGAAATCAGTCCATTAATATCAGTGGCTGAAAAACAACTGCAGACCATACCTGTTCTTGAATTTTGGGGGGATCATTTAGGTCATGTGATGTGGCAGGTCAAACAAAACAAGGAAGCAGAAATCGGTGACCACCCCCTCCTTCGGTCACAAGCAAATCTGGAGGGTGTCCCTGATGAGGTGACTTCAACGTGTCCTTTGGAAGTCCTGAAGAGGAACACCAGGAAATAGCCAGACAATTGTGGGAAGAAAAGCAAATGCATGAAGAGCTCACAGGACAGGTAACCAGCCTCAAATTCAAGGAAGCATCTTCGCTGTGTGAAAATTCAAACCTGGAAAGTGACATTCAGCAGCTGAAGCCAAAGCTTCACATTCTGTCTGAATCACATGAAGATCACTTAACACAACTTCAGAAGAAACTGAAGTGGAAACAAGCGGCTTAGAAATGGAGTAGATGCTTGTCAGCATGTGTTGCAACACGAACTCTGCACATTAGATTTGCAGCCTCTACAGGAACATGGCCAAAGACCTGGGCAAGGAACGGGAGAGAAGCACTTCCTGCTGTGTAATGGAGACTGTCTTCTATGTGAAAGGACTCAAGGAAGCTGGAACACAAAGCCCCCTGGTTGGAGAAAAAGCCCTAGGAGGTAAGGAAAGAAAATGATCACAACAGGCAAAATATTAACCAAGGTTGAGTCCAAGTTCCAGCCTTCCTCCAGTGGCCATTTTGCTCCTGCTGCTCCACCCACAGCCCACTGGGAATGCCAGGGGTCATTAGTGCCCCAGAAAGGATAAGGGTCATGAAGTAAGAGCTCAAGAATCCAGGGTCACCTGCAGGTTAGACTCAGTTTCTTCAGCAGCTGAGTCCTGAACACCCATAATCACTGAGAACATCTGTATTGTTTTCTCTTTGAAGAAATTTTGACTGATTTCTTTTTTGTTTAGCTATTGTTATTTAACTGATGCTACACATCCTCTTTTCAAGAAGATATGGCATTATAATTTTTAGTATTCTAAAATAACTACTCAATAAAAATAAAAAATCATTATATATAAAAAATCCAGTATTAATTAGCACTATTTTAAAAAAAGTCAGCCCTGGCTGGCGTAGCTCAGTGGATTGGGCGCGGGCCTGTGAACCAGAGTATCGTGGTTCGATTCCCAGTCAGGGCACATGCCTGGGTTGCAGGCCAGTTCCCAGCAGGGGACACATGAGAGGCAACCATACATTGATATTTCTTTCCTACTCTTTCTCCTTCCCTTCCCCTCTCTCGAAAAATAAATAAATAAAATATTTAAAAAAAAAAGTCAACAGAAAAAGGCTAGAGAGTAGCAGGAAAATGGGGAGAGGGGTCATGAAAGTCCTCTGTGAAGAGGTGATGTCTGAGCACACAACTGGCTGAAGTGAGAAGCAGGCCTTGCAAAGTCTGGGGCAGAGAGCTTTCTGGGCAGAGAGAACAGCCAGTGTGGAAATAGGAAAGAAACTGTCTCACTCAAGGTAGGGCAGAGAGGCTAGTATGGCTGAACTACAGAGAATGTGTGGGAAGACAAGTTTAAAAAGAGGCTGGAGAGATAGACGAGTTCAAAGTAATGTGGATTGGTGAGGCCAAAGTAGAATATGCATATCATTCTAATAGTGATGGGAAGCCATCAGAGGGCTTTTAGCAGGTGAGTGGCTGGTCTTATGCTTTGAAAGGATTAGTTGGGGTTTATGGGTGGAGAGTGGGCTGTTTGGGGTGAGTGGGAGCAGGGAGACTGGTGAGGAGGCTGCTGGAGAAGTCAGGGGAAAAAGGTCTTGGTCCTCCACTCAGGTGGAGGTGATAACAAGTGATCACATTCAGCCCTCATTTCAAAGATAGAGCTGACAAGTTTGGACATAGGGACATGTGAAAAAGAGAGGAATTAAAGATAACTTCTATGTCTGGGGCCAAATAACTGGGTAAATCACACATTTTACTGAACTTGAGAAAATTAGAGAATTACAGGGTTGTG